ATAGAATCATGGAATACTGAAGTTGGGAGGGGCCTATAAGGCCATCAAGTCCAATCCCCTGCTCGATGCAGGAATACAAATCAAAGGATATCTGCCAGGTATTTGTCTAAGTTTCTCTCAAATGCCTCCAGTGCTGGAGCACTCACCCCTCTTGATTCTACTGTCTTACAGCTCTAACAGTTAGGAAGTTTTTTCTGATATTCCATTGAAATCTGGCTTCCTGTAACTTGAGAATAAAGCTGAAGAAGAGCATGACAAGAATCATAGTCCTAAAATATAATTTAAACAACCTTTCTGATGAATTTAAAATCCACATAAAGAACAGATTTGCAGAAGGAAAGAACAGATTTGCAGAAGGACACAAACTACCAGTTCAGCAGTTCATGCCGCTTCATCCTTCAGACAAACAGGTGTTCAGTGATTCCCAGCCCCGCCTGCTCTAGTGGGTGCCCATTCAGAGGCAGCACCCCAGATTCCCTGTCCCGCCTCCTCTGGGCATTGCCTCTGAATGGGTGCCTGCCTGAGGCGGCAGGACTGGAAGGTACCAAAACCTGTTTGTCCTTTGGGGGAACCAGTACATATCACACAATTTGATTTATATTGGCAGTTCATACCCATCTCTAAATACTAAACCAATTGACCACAAACCAGAACAATTATAGATTGAAACTAGAGATATTATAAGGGAAGAACATAACATTGCAATTCCTGTAGTCAAAATAAAAAGTCATAGGTAAGAGAAGTAGGGTCAGAATCATGAATGCGGCCTTTCATTAACTGTCATGTAGAAACAAAAAGATCTATTGCCAATGCAAAGAAATAGAACAGCAAAACAGAAAATACAATAATTCTCTTCCACAAGATCGAAGGAATCAAAGAGAAATTTAAGCCTATACAAGGAAGGCTGAAAGACCAACAGGGAAGTATGCTATCTGACTGAGATAAAACAAAGAAAAGATAGAAAAGTATACTGATGACCTGCACAGAAGACATAAAAGGATGACAGAGTTCTTTGAAGAGAACTCCTATGATGAAGAACCTGCAATTCTGTCAGAGTTTTCCCCATTAATATATATTCAGGAGTAAATATACATGATTAACATATTCTACAAACATACCTGCTGTGGCCTACATGCCTAGAATTAACGTCTGGAGCCTCCTGGCCATTGATCTTCTTATCATTGCTATCTACTTATGAATTCACTATGAGAATGAAGGTCATCGTCGTTTAGTCATGTCCGACTCTTCGTGACCCCATGGACCAGCGCACGCCATGCTCTCCTATCTTCCCCTGCCTCCTGGAGTTGTGTCAAATTCATGTTGGTTGCTTCAATGACACTGTCCAACCATCTCATCCTCTGTCGTCCCCTTCTCCTCTCGCCTTCACACTTTCCTAACATCAAGGTCTTTTCCAGGGAAAAGAGAATGAAGGTAACCCCCCCCCAAAAAAATGGTAGAGCGTCGTTTGAGTGCTTTGATTCCCCTCCCTTCAAGCCATTGAATGGATTGAGCCCCAAAGGAAGAGGCCAAGCAACCAGGAACACAGAGGCTTTCCTAAACCTCACCAAAGACAAGAAAAGTTACTTATAAAGAATACAGCTCTAGATTACTGTGTTGTTTGTGCTGGCTGCGAGATAATGGAAGTCATTATCAAAGAGAGTAACTTTCAGCATTTCTCAAATGCATCCAGCACTCTTGCCTCAAAACTGCATCGTCAAACAAACTATGAATAGATGCTTACTATTTGTGGAGGATATTTCAGTCTCTTTTTTTGTTTTTTGTTTTTACAGCACCAATCCACCCATGCATAGCAGGAGAGCCATGATGATTTTGGAGAAATTTGACACTCATGATCTATTGGGAGATAGACACAGTCTTAATTCCCAAGACTCCATTTCTGTTACTTTAAGGTTATCAAAGCCTGTCTACCATTTTTACATATTATCCCCAATTTCAATGCAGAAGTTACTGTAACAAAAACACTGATTGTGCAATTGCTAAAAATAACAGTAATCTCCTTTCTTTATTATAGACACTATTATTTCCCAAAAAATGTGCTGCCACTCATCTGTAATTCTCAATTTAAAGCAGCAGGTTGGATTTTAGCAGCCAGCATAAAACAGTAGTACAGATTTTTCCCTTTACTAACTACAAATTGTTAAATTTTATGGAGCCTATTATTTTAAAAAAGATCTTCCATATTTTCTCCTATGGATATATGTGAGTGATAATCATAGAGCTGTAGTTATCGTATTTTTCTGTATATAAGATGCTACTTTTTCCTAAAATCATTACACTAAAAATTGTGGGGCGTCTTTTACACAGAACTAAGCTGACAGCACAGAGAGAACAAAATCATTTGTACCTTGCCTCTGTAAACAGGCTTCCTTCAATCACAAGGCTTAGCTTCCTACAGTCAGGAGACTTAGCTTCCTCCAGTCATGAGCTTTATGCAACTGACATCAGCTGATGCTGAACAAACCAATTGGAACACACCTCGTTGGAGGTGCATCCTGTAAGCAGTGCTCAGATTCAACAGGGAGTTGTAATGTCCGAGTGTTCTGAGACCAGAGGCTGAATACTCAAAGCTTAATTTCTGGGTTAGAAGAGTGTGTGTCTTAAAAACAGGAGTGTCTTATAAATGGAAAATATGGTATCTTATTTTTCTTCTCTCTCCTTCTCTCTGTCTTTCTTTTTCTTTTCACAGAATACCTATAGAAGCCTGAGAGAAAGGTCTCTCGCTGATGATCTTAACTCTTGAGCAGGCTCAAAAAGGGAGATGTAGTCCTTAAGATATTTTGGTCCCAAGCTCTATGTATGTATTCACCCCATCTTTCTACCAAAATTCACACCCAAACACATTAAAGGATGTACTTTTGATAAGACTGATATGACCCCAGCCTTATATCATTGCAGCAGATATTCAATAACTTTCAGGTATGTGAAATGTACAAACTTTCATCATCCATCAGTATACAAGAATATGCATGGAATTGGGGTGGTGGTGGGGTATTTGTTAACTTCATGAGATTTTTTTTTATTGAGGGTTAACAACAGAGTTAGGGTTAGGATTAGACTTGTGGTTTTATCTTGAGCCCATTTTAATTCCAAATGGAACCACTGTTTAGCAGCAGTTTTGAGCCTGTTGTCCCTCGGTATAAAAAGGTAAAGGTAAAGGTTCCCCTTGACAATTTTTGTCCAGTCGTGTTCGACTCTAGGGGGCGGTGCTCATCCCCATTTCAAAGCCATAGAGCCAGCGTTTTTGTCCGAAGACAATCTTCTGTGGTCACATGGCCAGTGCGACTTAGACACGGAATGCTGTTATCTTCCCACCGAGGTGGTCCCTATTTATCTACTTGCATTTGCATGCTTTCGAACCATTAGGTTGGCGGGAGCTGGGACAAGCGACAGGAGCTCACTCCATCGCGTGGATTCGATCTTACGACTTTGGTCTTCTGACCCTGCAGCGCAGGCTTCTGCGGTTTAGCCCGCAGCGCCACCACGTCCCTCCTGGGTATAAAAGGTGTCTCCTTAAGGGGAGATAAGAAAGGGGCCTTGGGCTGGCCAAGTGGCACATACATAGTCTCCAAGGGTTTGTCACTCCTGGTGGAAAGGTGGTGGTGATACAAGGGAGCACTTCGGTTCCCCCCTCCCCCCAATTTCATTGGATCCATTCCCAGTCCTTGGCCAGGGAGCTGCTGTTGTAATCAATATAGCTGTGGCCTTTTCCCTCCAAAAATGGTGTTTGTTTTCGTCACAGGGTTTGCCCAGAACGCCCAGGACTGCTCATCTTTAAGCCTACAATGAGGTACTGTTTGCACAGCTGGTTGTGACCCTGACATGCAAGCAGGCACCTTGTTAATTAGCCTCAATTAGTTGGCTGAAATGTCCATGATTACACTACCACAAGAGAACAAAAACAAGTAGGTTGCTGAGAGAGAGAGAGAAAAAACCACCTAGACCAGTGGTGTCGAACTGTGGCCTTCCGGATGTTCTTTTTTGAAGAACATTTGGCCCACATTTGATATGTGGAGAGTATGGACTGAAATCCTCATTTGGCCCCATTAGCTGAGGGTATAGTCCACAATCCTTTGCGCTGTCACATAAACTCTAGCTTCTTCTCACACCCATCAGCCAGCCTCATTTCGGCCCTTCCTCTGCTTGTCGCACATACAAACTTAATCCAACAACATTATTTTAATCCAAATTAAAAAATACTGCTCATTTCTAGGAAGCGGTATCTTTCCCCCCATCTCCTCCCTTAATAAATATATTACTTCTCCACTCACCCGTAAGGTTGTGTTTCAGCATAAACAGGAATGGCCGGTTAGCCACAAACCGCTTGTTGGACAGGCTCATGATTGCTGCCACGTGCATGCCTGCAATATGTCCATCAAGTGTGGGTAGATTGGTTGGTATTATATAAAAAGTTTCCGTGTATTCATATGACCCACAGGTGGCCTTTGAAGATCCAGTAATTTGCTCTAACCCTTCAATAATTTAGTCTCATGGCAAACCACTGGCTTAGCAAATGCAGACTCCTGTTAGTCAAAATAATGATGCTTATTCTCATGGTGAAAGTTTGCCAGATTCTGATTTGTAAAAGTTTTATTTTGCCTCCCCAGCAAAAACAATAGAAGTTTCCGTTATAAACATTTTGATTAGATATCAAGGCCCAATAAGTTACTTATACCAGCAAAAGCTAGTTGTTTACAGTTGAAGGGAAATGTAAACATCTGAAAGAAATATAGGAAGGCAAGAAACACATGCATACAACTCCACAGGCTATCACACACACACACACACAAGGTTCCAACAACACTGACGCCAGGGAGTGTCAGACATTGTGTTGCTGCAGCAGCAGCAACAGCAGCTAGTGAGGATAAAATGAATTTTCTTCCAAAGATTCAAACTGGTTGGGCTGGGTGAGCACTTAGAATAATTTTTCAGGTCTGTCATTTTAATACATTTAAAGAGTAAAGTTATAATGCTTGTTACTTTTAAATGATGTGTTTTAGAGATGTATTCTCTGCTTTTTCATTGGGCTTTTTCAGGTTATAAACACCTGCATTTTTAGAATGTAATTAAAGATTTTCGATTAAATTCTGACCAGTATTTGCCTGGAACTTAAGTTTAGTTTTCATTTATTTGTAAGCATTTCTGCCTATAGTTTTTTTCATAGTAGGAAGACTTCTGAATGTTTTCAACAATTGTGAAGTATTTTTGTTCATGGATGCAATAAAGCTTGTAGAATTAAGCTGCTGTTGTCTGGAATCACTGCAGCAATGAAAAGATGGATAAATGCTAGCTGTGATAAATGCAAGCTTCTGTTTTTTCCCCTCTAGAGGTCTGTAAAGTTCTATAGGACTCTTAGGAGGATGTTCAGGCTTCAGATTCCCTGGCCTGACACCTTGCAAGTTAAAAATGGGGTACAAGGGAACCAGCAGAGGAAGGGAAAGTAAATAAAAGTAAGATTTAAAATGTTGGAAATGAATGAGTGCAGCTTCCCCTTGAAAAGGTACATGTGTGAACATGGGGAAGAGTAAAGAGGACTTTTTCTGATTTTCTAGATCGTCCTCTACTTGCTCTGACCCCTGCTGACCTTCCTTCAACATTAGATTCTTATTCTTAGGGTTCCTGGTGTGACTTCTGTCCTTGTCACACCTCTGTCTTGTCCCTCCAAGGAAGAGATAGCATGGCTTTGTTCTTTGGAGATGAAGGGAACAGTTATGGTTCCTGACATCTCTAATTTAGCTAGAACTAGGACTTCTATCACAAGCTTTCTTATTTCCTTAGAAAAAAGTATGGATATGATTTCTTTACCAAGGCGGGGGAGCTGTGTGCTCTGGTGTCAAGTGTGCTCACAATCTCAAAGGACTGAATCCACAAGTTAGTGTTGCTTCAGTACCACTGCATGAGTACTCTCCAACCGAAGAAGAGAGAACTATGAAATTATTTGATTGACACATACTTAGACAAGGTCTGGGAACCAAAAATACCCATTGTCTAACTGTCAAAAAGAGCAGTAATTCCTCTTCTGTATTGCAGCTACTCTTACTTCCTGAAAATGAACAGCCACTTATCCTAATCCTCAATTTAAAGCAGCAGGTTAATTTAAACACTTTGATTTGAGCAGAGATAACAAAAACAGTAAAGCAGGTATAAAAAGTAGCTCCTATAGGTAACAGATATAGTAATAGCTGTAATAGTCACTGCCTTCCTGCTTGTTGTGACTACAGTGGAATCATTTCCTGGAACAGACATGTTGCCACATGAACCAGGGCAGATACTCCTGCTGAGGGACTCTTAAAACGCTGCATGCAGACCTAAATAACAGTTCTAATCACATGAGGGAGAAGTACAACATTATTCTTGGCTGGCTTTGTCTTGTCCTTGGCATCTGCCTGGTCGCTCTCTGTGTATTGGGAACCAACTGTTTTAGTGGGGACCCTGTTGTTATTGTATACTACAAAGGTTATAAATAACTTGGGAAGCCTACGGAAGTATAGCAAAAGTATAGCCATCATAGTTGACTCTTTTCTGAAGAACATTTGGCCCACATTTGATATGCGGAGAGTATGGACTGAAATCCTCATTTGGCCCCATTAGCTGAGGGTATAGTCCACAATCCTTTGCGCTGTCACATAAACTCTAGCTTCTTCTCACACCCATCAGCCAGCCTCATTTCGGCCCTTCCTCTGCTTGTCGCACATACAAACTTAATCCAACAACGTTATTTTAATCCAAATTAAAAAATACTGCTCATTTCTAGGAAGAGCTATCTTCCCCACCTCCATCTCCTCCCTTAATAAATATATTACTTCTCCACTCACCCGTAAGGTTGTGTTTCAGCATAAACAGGAATGGCCGGTTAGCCACAAACCGCTTGTTGGACAGGCTCATGATTGCTGCCACGTGCATGCCTGCAATATGTCATCAGAAAAACAAACAAGTCATTGCCAGCAACAGAGACGAGGATGTATGTACCTCAGTGACAGAGCATTTGCTTTGCATATGGAAGTATCTGGTTTAGCCCCATGGAACTCTAATGAAAAGAGTCAGGAAGTAGATCAGGGTATGCTATGTAGGTCTGTGAACCACATGCCCCTCCCCAGGAGACCCTCTGTACCCCCCATCTCCACACATCACAAAATTATTTTTAAAAGCAGCTTAAAAAGCCCCCTTGTGCTTTTCAAGAGGTGTGGAAGTCAGTGGGGCCCAGCACTCCTGTCCCCTATCCACATTTTTTATTTTTAATGTTCTGGGCCACTGGAGGGAACCAGGGAGCTTCTTCAGCAAAGAAGCAACCCACTGATTTTTTTAAATTATTATTATTATTATTATTATTATTATTATTATTATTATTATTATTATTATTATTATTATTATTATTATTATTA